TATATATATATATACATATATATATAAAATTACATACGCGTGTAATTCAAACAAAACGTTTGCTGTTAGATAAAAGAATATAAAAGCATTCATGACCCGTGTCGGGGTCACGTTCTGATTTCCAATCTAAGACGATATATGTACATTAAGAACGGATTTCTCTCTGCATGCGCGGTGGCTACCGTTTTCCATCGTAAAAATTTTATATCCGGCGCGAGTGCTAACGCGGCCGGATGACGGGCACACGCGATCGAAAAGCATGAAAATACATTTTCTCGCGAAAGAGGTGAAAGGCCCGGCGGCATGCATTCCTCTACGGACTTTTAAAACGGGTTTCAGCGAGTCGCGTGGGGGGCGAGCCGTGGAAGCCTATTGGAGGGCTTCCAACTTGAACAGAGGCAAAAGTGCATATGCGCTGGATCCTGCGCGTTTCTGTTTTCAAGGGGGGGTGGAACGGACGCGTAACAGAAGAATCCCATCAGTATACGCACGCACCAGAAATGTTATCAACGATTATTAATACATTATTGATATCGGATGTTTGAATAGTCGAAATAATCAATTTCTATTTTCGTAGGCTCACAACCGATTTATTTATTCCAATTTGACGGACTTCGCGTATTAATCGAAAGTTGTTTTTTAAAGTAACACGCGTCATATCGATTCTTGCTTTTCGAAACAGTGTTCTTCTTTTTTTTTTCACTATTACTATTATGAAAGTGTCGTATTTTTAAACGGCGATAATATTATACTTGCACGTCCAGGATAGTGATTTTCTTTTATAGAAGAGAAGAGACGGAGATTGGTGGCTTTTTGTTGTTATTCCCGGGATAAAAACGCGTGTTTTTGCATCGATTTATTTATATCGTTTCTGGTACGGTGCAGAGGGTCGATATCGGTATAGTCGAATCACGAAACGAGCGATAAATAATTCGAACTTTTATCTTATTAATTGCATGTGAAATTAAAGTATCGTGCTAGATAGTGTTTTATTTTTCCTCGTTGTAATTGCATGAATAAGAATACTGTATTCGATTTCGATTTTTATTTTTATAGCCAGTCTCATAGTATAGCGCTTCTATGGTTAGAACTGCAATGCAATTTCGTAGACAGGCGAAAAGTTTCAGTGTTGATGATGTTGCAAGTGGATTACGTTTTTCTAAAGAAATTCTTTGAAATAATTTTTGAAATAATTTTTTTTTTTTTAGAGCAATCATCTTTCAGTAACACGAAAATAAATTCTTCGTATACTGTTTCAAGTTAAAGAGTCAGGAATTTTAAAACACCGTGTTCGGAACGAACGGAATTTCATCTCAAGGTGGTCGTCACTTGGGAACTACCTCTCCCTCCCCTCCATTGCTGCTGTGGCATTCTTTTTTATCTGGCCGCTAAAATCGCAGGGGTCTTCCCATGACATCTGTTAAACATATAATGCTTTTTTTCGTGAAAGGGAAATAGTGGTTTACAAAGACAAATAAATGCTTGCATGGATAAAGCAGATTTTGGATATTTTTCTGCCTAATTCATCAGGAATAAATCAAACACTTATGACATATAGAAGCCATTTTTTGCAAGTTAGTAATATCTGTTAGGGGTTTGTAATATTTTAGCTGATTTATATTAATGCTAAAATAATTTCACTATAACTATAAATTATTGTACAGAGAAGTTACGTGTTACTTTTACAATTTTCAATAAAGATATGTTTGCTAATTTCATTAAATTAATCTTAGATGATAACTAATCTTAGTTTCGTCTGGACAGCCTTTTCAAAC